ACATTGAGTTTACAGAGGAAGAGGTTCTATTTCAACTGTCAAAAGTAAAGACAAATAAGTCAATGGGACCTGATGGAATACACCCAAAGCTATTAAAAGAGCTTAGTGGTGTACTAGCAAAACCAGTAACAGATTTATTTAACCAATCATTGTTAACAGGAGTAGTCCCAGAAGATTGGAAGTTAGCGAATGTTGTGCCCATTTGCAAGAAAGGTAATAGGGAGGAGTCGGGCAACTATAGGCCAGTAAGCCTTACTTCAGTAGTGGGGAAAGTGATGGAAACCATGTTAAAGGATAGGATTGATGAGCATCTAAAAACACATGGATTTCAAGATCAGAGACAACATGGGTTTACTTCAGGGAGATCATGCCAAACTAATCTTATTGATTTTTGATTGGGTAACTAAAATTATAGATCAGGGTGGTGCAGTAGACATTGCTTACCTAGATTTCAGTAAGGCTTTTGACACTGTTGCACATAGAAGGCTTATCAATAAACTGCAATCTTTTAGTTTGGATTCCAATATTGTTGAATGGGTAAGGCAGTGGCTGAGTGACAGGCAACAGAGGGTTGTAGTTAATGGAATATATTCGAAGCTTGGACTTGTCACCAGTGGGGTACCTCAGGGATCTGTACTTGGACCCATTCTCTTTAATATTTTTATTAGTGATATTGCAGAAGGTCTTGATGGTAAGGTATGTCTTTTTTGCTGATGATACTAAGATATGTAACAGGGTTGATGTTCCAGGAGGGATAAGCCAAATGACAAATGATTTAGGCAAACTAGAAAAATGGTCAGAATTGTGGCAACTGACATTTAATGTGGATAAGTGCAAGATAATGCATCTTGGACGTAAAAACCCAAGAGCAGAGTACAGAATATTTGATAGAGTTCTAACCTCAACATATGAGGAAAGGGATTTAGGGGTGATTATTTCTGATGACTTAAAGGTAGGCAGACAATGTAACAGAGCAGCAGGAAATGCTAGCAGAATGCTTGGTTGTATAGGGAGAGGTATTAGCAGTAGAAAGAGGGAAGTGCTCATGCCATTATACAGAACACTGTTGAGACCTCACTTGGAGTATTGTACACAGTACTGGAGACCGTATCTTCAGAAGAATATTGATACCTTAGAGAGGGTTCAGAGAAAGGCTACTAAACTGGTTCATGGATTGCGGGATAAAACTTAACAGGAAAGGTTAAAGGATCTTAACATGTATAGCTTGGAGGAAAGACGAGACAGGGGGGATATGATAGAAACATTTAAATATATAAGGGAATCAACAAAGTAAAGGAGGAGACTATATTTAAAAGAAGAAAAACTACCACAACAAGAGGACATAATCTTAAATTAGAGGGACAAAGGTTTAAAAATAATATCAGGAAGTATTACTTTACTGAGAGGGTAGTGGATGCATGGAATAGCCTTCCAGCTGAAGTGGTAGAGGTTAACACAGTAAAGGAGTTTAAGCATGCATGGGATAGGCATAAGGCTATCCTAACCATAAGATAAGGCTAGGGACTAATGAAAGTTTTTAGAAAATTGGGCAGACTAGATGGGCCGAATGGTTCTTATCTGCCGTCACATTCTATGTTTCTATGTTTCTATGTTTCTACTTATATATACAGACTTATCAAGATTTAATATGTGAAATTATCACTCTATATTCCGTTCACTATTAAAAGTTAAATTTTAAACTATATATGTTTTTAGGTAGTGTTTTCTCTCCTTTTTTCTAACAATACTTACATTTAGGGTTAACCCCTTCACTACCTATGTACTTTATTCCTACATTAGGCTTTCACTTTGTTTAATTTAAAACAAGGATTAGTTAGATTAAAAACAAAAGAAGGAAAGTATGTAGAAGAATATAAAGGTCTAGCAATTAATATTTTTGTTCAGTATTTACAGCTGAAAATGAAGGAGAGGGACTTCAGTTAGGAAAAAGGACAAATGGGGCATTTGTTATATGTGAGTTTACAGAGGAAGAGGTTCTATTTCAACTATCAAGAGTAAAGACAAATAAGTCTATGGGGCCTGATGTGATACAGCAAAAGTTATTAAAATAACTTAGTGGTGTACTAGCAAAACCATTTATGGATTTATTTAAGAAATCATTGTTAACAGGAATAGTTCCAGAAGATTGGAAATTAGCGACTGTTGTACCCATTCACAAGAAAGGTAGTAGTGAGGAGTCAGGCAACTATAGGCCAGTAAGGCTTAATTCAGTAGTTGAGAAAGTGATGGAAACCATGTTAAAGAACGGAATTGTTGAACATCTAAAATCACATGGATTTCAAGATCAGAGACAGCATGGATTTACTTCAAGGAGATCATGCCAAACTAATCTTGTAGATTTTTTTTGATTGGGTAACTAAAATAATAGATTATGGTGGTGCAGTAGACATTGCTTACCTAGATTTCAGTAAGGCTTTTGACACTGTTCCACATAGAAGGCTCATCAATAAACTGCAATCTTTAAGTTTGGATTCCAATATTGTTGAATAGGTCAGGCATTGGCTGAATGACAGACAACAGAGGGTTGTAGTCAACTGAGTACCTCAGGGATCCTCAGGGATCTGTACTTGGACCCATTCTCTTTAATATTTCCATTAGTGATATTGCAGAAGGTATTGATGGTAAGGTATGTCTTTTTTCGCTGATGATACTAAAATTTGCAACAGGATTGATGTTCCAGGAGGGATAAGCCAAATGGCAAATGATTTAGGTAAATTAGATAAACAGTCAGAGCTGTGGCAACTGACATTTAGTGTGGATAAGTGCAAGATAATGCATATTGGGCATAAAAAGCCAAAGGCAGAATATATATATACAATATAGACTATTTGATACCCTACTCACCTCAACATCTGAGGAAAGGGATTTAGGAGTAATAATGTCAGATGACTTAAAGGTAGGCAGACAATGTAATAGAGCAGCAGGAAATGCTAGCAGAATGCTTGGTTGTATAGGGAGAGGCATTAGCAGTAGAAAGAGAGAAGTGCTCATGCCATTGTACAGAAAACTGGTGAGACCTCACTTGGAGTATTGTACTGGAGTACTGGAGACCGTATCTTCAGAAGGATATTGATACTTTGGAAAGAGTTCAGAGAAGGACTACTAAACGGGTTCATGGATTGCAGGATAAAACTTACCAGGAAAGATTAAAGGATCTTAACATATATAGCTTGGATGAAAGACGATACAGGGGGGATATGATAGAAACATTTAAATACATAAAGGGAATCAAAACAGTAAAAGAAGAAAAACTGCCACAACAAGAGGACATAGTCTTAAATTATTATAAAAATAATATCAGGAAGTATTACTTTTCTGAGATGGTAGTGGATTATGGATTATGTGTGTGTTTCTATTTGTGTGTAGTGCTGACATTTTAATGCAGTTGTCTTTGTATGTACTGTTGCCACTTGAAAGCAGTGGTGTAGTTGTGTGTAGTGCATTTGAATGCATGGGTGTGTTTGTACATAGTGTTTAAATGAAGCGCTGTATTTGTGTGTAGTTTTGATGTTTGATTGCAGTGGTGTATTTGTATAAAATGTTGGCTTTTTAATACAGGGGTTTGTTTGTATGTATTGTTAGTGATTGATTGCAATAGTGTGTTTGTATGTAGTGTGGGCATTTGATTGCAAGGTTTTTGTTTGCATATATTGATGTTGGTATCTAATTGCATATAGTATTAGCGTTTCATTGGAAAGGTGTGCTTGTTTGTAGTGTTGCTGTTTGAATGTGAATGCTGCCATCTATACACATACATATATGCAGCCATATTTATATATTTATATATTTGGGAGTCCACACCAACTTCTTAGTTTTGCACCCATCCCTGTCACAGGTGCCTCATTCCAGGACCCTATTTAGCCTTGACTTGCAGAGAGTCCCAGTTACGTCTTACTCTAGCATTAGGCTGCTAGAGTAGGACCTGCCAAGAATGGGGTACATTGACGTTGTGGCAGGCTTATGCAATATATGATCATATAATGTAAATAAACCCCTATTATTTTTTCCTAGGTGAGGTGTTTTTAAAATAAGACTATTACAATCTCTAAGATTTGAAATCCTGGAAACGCTGGATTGTGTATTTTGCATATATTGGCCCCAGCAGCAACCTATAAAGTATGCATGTTCAGGTGAGTGCAGCCCTCTTGGTTTCATTTATATGCAGCCATAAATACATACACACACACACACACACACACACACACAGTGACACAGGTACACAATAACACACACACACACATATACTTACACTGACATACACACATATACCCACATTGACACACACAGATACTCATACACAAAGATATATATATATACACACTGACACACTCACATATACTTACACTAACACACACATATACCCATACTGACACAGGTACACATACACACAAAAACACAGATACACATACACATTGCAGATGCATATACCCACACACAGATACGCATACACACAGACCCCCACACACACACACATACAAGCAAGGCCGGACTGAGACAGAAATTCAGCCCAGGCAATTAAAGGCAGAGCAGCCCACTATGAGGGGTGGGGTCAGATGGGGGCATGATATGTTGTAACCATTGACAAGCACATCCCCCCACCCCCTTATTGTTTTTGGAGTTGGGTGGAGTTGTGCAACATAAGCATACACTGTGTTTCCTAGTGACTTGTCTTTGGTGTCCTCAATAGTGGGACACCAGAGAACAAAAGTGTAACAGGGCTGTTAAAGTGTGTTGTGCATGTGTGGGGATACTCCCTGTGCTGTTGTATGTGTTTGGAGGTTGCTTGTGAGATTGCACGTGTCTACAGCAGGAAATTGTGTTGTATTGTGTGTGTAAAGGGGTCTGTTTGTGGCTTGGGACTGTAATGTGTGTGTGTTTCTGTCCTGTAAATATGTTTGTGTGTGTGTGTGTGTGTTTGTGTATCTAGGGGCTTTAGTGTGTGTATGCATATAGGTGCACATGTGAGAATAAGTGTGGTAATGTGTGCATAGGTGGTGTAGTGTGTGTCTGTGTAAGGGGTATATGTATGTGTAATTATAGAAGATATGGAATAGTGTGTGTATAGTGTGTGTATAGTGTGTGTGTGAATGCATGTGGGGTATAGAGTGTGTGTAGTGTGTGTGAGAGCAGGGGGTGTAATGTGTGTGTTTATAGGGGTACAAAATGTGGGAGTGCAGGGGGTGTAGTGTATATTTAGGGTGTATAGAGTGTGTTTACTGTGTGTATGTGTGTGTGCCAATGGTGTAGTGTGTATGTAAGGGGCATAAAGTTAGTGTAGTGTTTTTCTGTGTTAATGCAGGAGGTATAGTGTGCGTATAGGGGTACAAAGTGTGTGTAGTGTTTGTGTGTTAGTGCAGGTGCTGTGGTGTGTATATAGGGGGTATAGAGTGTGTGCAGTGTGTTAGTGCAGGGGCTGTATTGTGTAAATAGGGGTAGAGTGAGTAGTGAGTTAATGCAGGGGGTATAGAGTGTGTGTAGTGGGTTTGTGTAAGTATGTAAGCTCTTTTTGAGCAGGGCCCTCCTCTACCTATTGTTCCTGTGTCACAGTGTAATTTTCTCATTTATTGTAAATAATATTGTAAAGCGCTGCGGAATTCGTTGGTGCTATATAAATACTACTGCTGCTAATATTAATAATATGTGAGGGGATGTGTATACAAGCGTAGGATAGGGGCTTAAGTAATTAATTAATACTTTTTTTTTTTAAATCACATTTACTCCCCCTTCCCTTTATTACCTTGCAGGGGAGAGGGAGCACACTGGGATCTGCACAGGTAGCGGGTGAGACCGAAATAAGCGGCTTAGAGCATGGGTGGCCACAGACCGGGGGTGTCAAATGGGCCACAGGACCCCATGAGCTCACTGTGTACCCAGCCTGGTGGGGAGAGGGTTAATAGGAGACAGAGCTCATTGTGAACTGTGACCAGGGCTGTTATAATACTGTGGCCAGGGCTGTTATAATGCCAAGGGCTGTTATAATGCTCTGACCAGGGCTGTTATATTGCCAAGGACTGCTCTAATGTTCTGACCAGGGCTGTTATAATGACCAGGG